TTTGTTGGTCCATTTGATCCTGTCCATGCTCACGATATCTCCAAAATCGAGATCCGGATGGATGGCACTTGGCTTGGCGAGTTCCTTTGGCTTCCCTTCCGCACACGTGGAGCAACGAAAGATCAGTCAGTGCCTCTATAGAATTTTTCTGGACTGCACCCTACTTGCTGACAGAACTTCTGCTGACTGGGATATCCCAGGTTCTTGTGTACCTTAAGGATCCATGACCTTTCTTCAGGGCGGAGTGCTACCAAAACCACCCATAGCAACCGCAAAAACGCCAGCCTACTAGAAGCAGCTTCCTGCTATAGGTTCAAGCTTGTTCTGCAAAATCCACCTACAGGCACTCGTGCCCCTCTCAGGGGCTTTCTGGCAGTACCGTGGCGAAAGGTCGGCTGATCTCCAACCGGACCATCAAGCGCCACTGCCTCCCATAGCAGTCAGCAGTGGATCAAGGAGGTTGCTCTGCGCGGGGAGTTGAAGCACAAGGGCTTGCAAGTACTGCTCAGCGCACGACGCCCAATCAGCAAGGCCCTGTACCGCAGGATTGATGTCCTCATAGCGCTTGATCTCCACAGCAAACGTAGGCGCTCCATTGCTCCATGGCCGGTAGTCGATGTGTCGATGTCAGGGACCTGTGGCAGCGGCGGAAAGCGACAGATTTGTCGGTACTCTCGAAAGGTGGCGTCCAGTTCGAAGGCTAACGTGGAGTTACGCAGCAGGGCATAGTCCAAGACCGCTCCACTCAGCAAGCTCTGCTCCAGCACCGCGATTTGGAAGTTGAATTTGCTGCCCAGCACAGTACTCTGAAAGGCGTCCGGAGGATTGTTCCAGGTCTCTTGGAGGATGGCCCAGATCTTTGCCGGGATGTTGGCATTTGTTGGTCCTTGCATGGTTGCCATTGCTGCGCTCATTGCAGTGGGCCGGAAGTCCGAAGGCTTGGCGACCCCTGACTGCAAAGTAGTGGCAGGTACCGGCGTGCTGTTGTGGATCCAGGTGTGTCTCAACGAAGATTTCACTCTCTCTGGACCAGTACCATTCAATGACCGAACTGCCCAGACTGGTGACATTGGCAAAGTGGAGCCTCACGTCCACTGTGTGAGCATCGTCTGGTACTGTTGCTTCATGCGGTCAAGCTTTGCTTGCAGGTTGGCCTTGTTGAGGGACAGATTCTTGAGATCGGTCACGTGCTGTTTGAGCTTGCCAGCCATGTGCTGCTCCGGTTCAGGAGCCGTCAACTTCAGCACCAATTCTTGAACCTGCTGTGGCAAAGCTCGCGTGTGGTTTTTTGAGGATGTCGGTCAAATCCGGTTCCTCGGAATTTTCCGGGCCGACGCCGAGCTCCTGAAGTTTGGTTTGGATTTCAAGAGGGATTGTTGTCCATGTGGCCCCAAGGATTCCAAGGATGTCCGTGGCCTCCTTCTGTATCTTGTTCTTTTCGAGTGGCCGCCACGCTGAAAGGCCTGGAGGGGTTGGATGTATGTATGTATGTATGTATATATATGTATGTACGTATGTATGTATTTATGTATGTATGTGTGTGTATGTGTGTATGCACGTATTTTCATACACTGGGTATCGGGTTAAGTCGTGTGGTTTTGTAGCAAGTTGTTTGGAAGATGCGTCGCTGTACTTTTTCGAACTTGGATATCCTTGCAACCTGCGCATTAAACTTTTGTTTTGGCGTAGCATGAAACAGGCATGTGGGATCTGGATTGTTGGGACTAGCGCGGCATTCGAAACCTCTGTTCATGTATGCAACAGATTTGAACATGAATGTTTAATCTCAAAATCTTTCTAAATTTCTTCCATATGTATGGCTCATTTTCATATGAATGCAAATTTCCTGAAGGACAAATGACTTCACAACACTACCTGGAGCAAGCGTGGCCCTGGTGGTTCAACACCCGAACAACAAGAAATCAACACCCAAACGATCATTTCGCCCCAGTGTAGGCAAAAATATGCAGTTGCGAGGTTGGGCGGGAGGATGCGGTACACAGCGTGGCCATGGTGTTTCACGCTTGTGTGGGTGACTGAGTCGGGTGATTTTCCACCACTGCAGCGTGCTCATGCAGCTGGGTGACTTCTGCTGACCAAACATCAGCACTTGCACGGTATAGAGTATGTATATATTTAATACTTCAGGCAGACAAAAGTTTACGCTTGTTAGCCTTCTTACAAAACACTCTGAGGTCAGCGGCGGATCGAA